GTCGAAATCCTGTACGAATTTCTCGCTTTTTTCTTATGTAAACGAAACCCTTCGGTGCGGGCCCTTCGTTTGTGGGAGTGACGAGAGTTACCCTCACGAGAACGTTTAGGCAAAGGCTTGCTTGGGTAAATATTTAAACTGGTTTTCGATTGTTTTCGCAAAATCGTTGCAGTTGGTCAAACACGTGTTTGAGATAATTTAATTAAATTTACTTGGCTTTTTTTTGCCGCTGCCGCTGCTACTTCCTCGTGCCACGTGCCACTCCAGGCTCTAGCCGCGTTTTGTACTCAAGTGGCAAACACTTGAGCACTTGCTTGCTTGTCCTAGTCCCAATCCCGCACCCTGCCACGACTCGAGTTCAATCTGTGTTTAAATTGTGGCAAGTGCAGCGCTACTTGGCTTAAGCTCGGATAGATTGGACGGGGATCAGGCGGGGCAGGGGCAGATTTCCTAGGAACTGAAAACTTTGGTGGTCTCTGGCAGCAGACAATGCAACTGTCAGAGATCTTTGTCGATGGATCGGTGGCATCTGTCGCAGTCCGCAGTCAGCAGTCCGCTGAGACCTGAGAGAGTACGGACTCCATGCCATACCATACCATTCCATTCCATTCCATCGAATCAATGACGATGATGACTCGTGGAAATCACAAGGAAAGAACTGAAACTAAATATGATTTATCTCCACGGTGTGTTCACGGAGTCAAGTCGTTCGTTCTGTTCTGTTCTGTTCTCCTACCCTCCCCTCTCATTAGTGCGGACGGACCCGACTAATTTGCATAAGTGTCCTGCCTGGCCCCAGGACGAGTACACACACACACCCGAGATGTGTACCCATGGAGGCACATGGAGGGAACGAACGAACACTAATTAAAATGTTCGCGCCTCAAATTTCCCTCTCGTCGCCTTATTTATGGCCCTGCCCCAGTCCCTGTTCCCTGTTCATGTCCTGTGAATGTCTTGCATATGGAAAAAGTTGGATAGAAATATACTTACATTTACTCGTATCGTCTGGCATATCGTCCCTACATTTGGTTTCTTATTCTCTTCGTTTTTTTTTTGTTGTTTACGAGTGACAAATGAGACATTTACATGCTGCGTTCTCCGTGAATATTAAAATTATTCATGGTTTCTGCTGGCAGAGAGTTGGCTGTCGCCGAGGCAGGAAGGAAGGAGTGAGAGGATATCGGAAATGCAGGCTAGTGGCATGGCTAATGGATATGTAAGCAGATGCTAACCCTCCATAAAGGGGGTAAATATAGTTAGAAGAGAGCTCTCTTCACATTTGAAAAAATATCTACACAAATCTAAGATATCCTTTCACTATATGGTTTCCTTCTTCCTTCCTTCCCTCCTTCCCTCATTTCTAATTTAATCAGCCTTACATTTATTTATTTATATGGAAATCCCCTCTTAAAAAAGGGTTAATTTTAATATCTCAGTCTCAGCCACTTGTTGGAGTTCCGTTACCAGAACATTTCACATCTCCCCCCACCCTGCCCCCCGGGCCCAGGCCAGTTTGCTTTTCAAGAGTCAATCCTCCGACTAATTGACACACACAATTGTAATTGCAATGATGACACTTTCTCTGCCACTGCCACAGCCACAGCCACTTCCACCCCCCTGCACTCTCCTCAATAATCCCATAAGTCGCAGCGCACCACAGAAATTCCAAGCAAATGGGATGGCGGGAGAGGGGCAACAAATTATTTAGCTCTCGGCTAGTGGGATGTCCATGTAAATCCAATTGGAAACAATTTGAATCCAACGCCCGACGCTCAACAAACAAGAGAATTGGTGGGTTGGGGGAGTGGAGTGCTGGGAGGGGTGGGAGAGGCGACTGCCAGGGGTCAAAGGGGTAGAGCTGTGACAGCTGTCGCGGCCCGTGAAACTCCTCCGAGAATTGGGCGCGATAAAAGGGGGTTAATCGAACACGCGGACCGCAACGCAGCGCAGATCAGAGAAATTTTCCTCACCTTTGCATGAAAAAGAAAATTCCGTTTTTCTAAAGGGTAAAGGGCATAGAGTATAGAGCGGGTGGGGTTAGGTAGGGGAATTTCCTTTAGGGTATTTTGGTTAATTAGCGATGTCTGGGGACATCTTCTGTTTGCCTTTTGGCTTTGATTTAAACATAAAATGTTGTGCCGCTCTGCTCCGTTCCCAGAACCTGTCCTATGGGGAAATGTTTCTTAAAAATAGACTAAACAGAGTGTGGGAGAGAGAGCGAGAGAGAGAGCGAAGGAGTTTTCTTTGCACTTGCAAAATGGGAAATGTGACTTCTGGTGGAGGAGGTTACGCGCCTTGTCAGAAGTTAATGTGATTACCACGCCCCTCAAATTAATTCACAGAAAACTCAAACAAACTCCGTCTCTCCAACTCTCTCGCTGTCTCTCTCTCTCGCCTGCGGTGCCTCTCTTTCCCATAGTCAAAACGGTCACAGGCAGAAACCGCAAATGCGGAAAATGCAAATTGTTTTTCAACCGAACCCCGTACCGAACCCCACGACCCATCCCCGACTGTTTTCTCCTAACGATGCGTGAAAATTCTGTGGGCGTTTTCGGTAACTAATCCGACTGACAGAGAGGAAAGGGTGTAGGGAGGGAGGTAAGGAGAGAGAGTAGGCCCTCGAGTGTGTTTGACAACTTGCTCAAAGGAACTCAAAGGATATGTACATATGTATATATGTATGTATGGCTTGTTCAATGCGAATAATGTGCGAAAGTCAGAAGGGGTTAAACCCGAAATGATGACTAATCAACTCTGAAAGGCCAACAAAAGCGGACAAAAGTGAAGAAAAGTCCTCATAAAGTACCGTGCCCGACTGAGCAACCGTTAGGAGAAGACACCCGATAGAGAATGAAAGAAAATATTCTATTGAATGTATAGGAAATACAAAGAAAAAGAATCTAATTTTATTTATATTTTTTGTTGTATTATAGTTGTAATGCTAAGGATAGCAAACATTTGAGTTTGACCATTAATTATGCCCAATTTAAAACCCCGTCCAGTTTCAAATATTTCTTTGATGCATTGAGAAAATATAAAATATAATTTCAGTCTTATAGCAAGCCAAGTTCCAAAGTTATAAACTTTGGCAAAGTGTTTTGAGGAAACTGTTCGCCTGCCGCCCAGAGCACAGTTTGAATATAAAACTGTCGTTCTGCTTGCATGCACTGCTTTTCGACTGCTTTGCCGACTTTATATGAGAAAAAGAGAGAATGCTTTTGATTGGCTAAAAACTTCATTGGTTCAGAAGCGAACAAAATTTAGTTTCACTTTCATATTTTTTTCTTCAGAATTATAATAATATTTCGTCAATATTAATAGTATTGTTTGATGCTTTTAAATTGCAATTTATCACATATACACATACAAAATATATTCACTTGCATTTCCAAATACTTTTGAAATATTATTTTGTAAATTTATTGAAACTTATCTTTGGTAGGAAGCCTAAATTCAATTGATGATTTTCTTAGTTGTTTAATCTTGAATGGTTCGCAAGAGTTGAAGATTCTGGGGAGGAGATTCAGCGAGAAGGTCAGCATGAAGAAGTTCGCGAGCCAAGTGCTGGCTGCGTGGATCTGATCTTCTTACACACGCTTTCAAGAAGTGCGCATTGATTGGAGGTCTGTATAGAATGAAGCATTTAAACATCTTGCAGTGGGGAAAACGATGTGATGTGGACATCGACAAAATTTGTTTTTGTCTAGCGATTTGGTTGCGGTTTTCAGTTGTCAACTCTTCAAGCTCTCTCTCTCCCTCTCACTCTCACTGTCTATGTCTCTGCGAGCATTGCATCCCAAAAGGTTTCTGAGAACAGGGAGGATGGATCCTGGGAATATAACCTCAATAGAGCACGGGCTCCTAGTCTGGGGGTCCCTGTTCGTGTCCCTGTCGGTTTCAGCCTTTGCTTCTGCTGCTGCTGCCTGCTGCTGCTGCTGCACACTCACGCCCCCAACTGGGGACGGCACTGAGTACGGTCCAATTCACAGCGTTCCAAAGTCCCACGGCTGGAAATGATTCCACCAACCCACAACCACTTGCTGTATCTCTCTCTCTCTCTCTCACTCTGTTTATCTTTATATTGCCTGCCTGCTCTGGCTCTGTCTCTCTCTCTCTCTCTGTCTATGTCTCTCTCCCTCTCTCTCTGGATCTGGTTGTCGTTGTCGTCGTCGTCTCCTTCGTTGTCGGTGGATGGTTTTGTTGCTGACAGTTCGGCTCTCCACGGGACGCGACAACGACGATGTGGTGTCGTTTTCCACTCCCAGCGATAGGTTAGATTTTCCATTCGTTGCCTGCCCGCCACCGCCTCTCAGGCGCACTCATTGTTACCGACCCGACCCGACCGACCGACCGCCATTGCCACCCCCTCGGAACTCTCATGCGGCGCAGGCTCGTTTCGTTTCCATTTTCAAAACATTTGGTCGTTGGTCGTTTGGTCGCTTTTCCCGCTGCTGCTGCTGCTGCTGGTGCTGCCTGCTGGTGCTGCCTGCTGGTGCTGCTGCTATGTGGCATGTGGCAACTGCGCAGAGGCAGAGCGACGCGACGCGACGCGACCGACGCAAGCATCGCTGGCAGTCGCTGTGGACTGGACGAGGATTCAGTTGGGGTTTAACAGTCACTCGGGACGGTAGCGCGCGCCGCTTAAAACTTGTTGCGAGACCAATTCTCCGAAAATAAATCCCAAATTCTCTGCGGTGCATTGGCAGCCCACACACACACAGATACACCCACACTCACTCAGTCAGTCCGGTGCTGGATTTGGATTTAGTGCCGTCGTCGTGTTCGTTCGCGTTCGTTCTGTGCAGTTCTGTGACCCAATCCCATTGATTGACATCTCCAGAGACATACAACCCATCCCAGAGAGCAGATCCAGATCCCCAATCCCCAATCCCCAATCGAAGGAACAAAAACGAATCACTGCGGATCCCATTCCACAAATTGAAAGGAACGGAAGGGCAGATCCCATTCCATTCCCAATTGAAAGGAACGAGGCAGAAGAGCCAGCAAAACGGCCGCCACAATTGCCAGTGCCTCAGCAGCCGCCGCAGCTGGTGCCGTGCCCCTACCGTACGCCGATCTCCACCAGCATACGCACTCGCATCCGCATCCGCACCATTCGCACCACCACTTTGCTAGCACAGCTCCCCTGACCAGCGCCGATAGCTTCAAGCTGCGTTCCGAGGAGCCGGTGCCGGGCTTCAGCTCGGCCTCCCCCTGGCCCACGCTCGAGCTGGGGATGGAGTGGGGACGCAAGCTCTACCCTACCGCCGGGCCCCGGTCCGCCGGCGGCCTAATGTTCGGTCTGCCGCCCTCCGCCGCCGACATGAACCAGCCGCGTGGACCCATGACCTCGCTCAAGGAGGAGCCGCTGGGCGGACGCTGGGCCATGCAGCCAGTCGTCGATCAGACCAAGTAAGTGCAAATGATGGAAAAAAAACAGGAGCAGAGCAGAGCAGGGACTCTGCCAAAGTGTAAAACAAAGTGAAAAGAAAATTGTGATCTGTCAAGTGTTAAGAATTCGCCCCTCCCCGAATGATGAAGTTATTTAAGCCAGAGATGGCTACTAGTGGCTATTGTGGAGGACAATTGTGTGTGGTTTAGCTGATTTCATGTTTTTAATTTGGCAACCATACGGAATAACATTCCATTAATTCTTGGTCCAATCGAACACACAAAAAAGTTTGATTTAAAGTTTTTTAATTAAAATTAGTTCAGAAAAAATTAAACATTTATAAGCGTGAACTTGTACCAACAAAAGTTAATTTATTTGTGACTTTTTTAAATGAATTAGGTTTTCTTTCATTGAGTCTTGGTTTATGAATTGCTATTCTTTTTTATAGAGAGAATTTCCATTTACATAGATGAAAATTCACCCTTTAGTGTAATATGAATCAGATTCTCCATTAGTTTTTAATTTGCGTACAATTTTTGAGGGGTTTTTCAAAGATTCTCGTAATTGTAAAATCCAATTCAGAATTATAGTCAATGGAATAAATGGAGTAAATATAAATACAAGATATTCCGACTTTTTACCGCACTGCTGCCCAAGCAACAAACAGCCTTCAGTCGTACCATCTGCCCATCCTGCCCCAACAACTCCATTAATCCCCGCTCTAATCTCTCCCTGCGCTTACCGCTAGCCAATAATCTCCAACGGCGAATGGCAACAATGTTGCAGCAACAAACGCTAACAAAGAGAAGTCTCCAAAACCTAAAATAAAAATATATAAAAGAACGTTTGTTTACTTTTGGCCAAAAGCCGGCAGTGTCGGCAGCGGCGGCAGCGTGTGTCCGAGCAATATGAGGTGAGGGCCCCCTTGGGGTTGCGATTCAACCGTACGGGGGTGGGGTATTTTTATGGCCTTTCCCCCCGGTGCCAGCCACCGACCCAGAGCTAAGCAGATGAACCCCCAAAAAGCCAAACGGCGGCACAGACAGACTCACTCGAAAATTCTCACTCAAAGCTGTTTTTCGGGCTTTACTTACGCACTTTTTCTGCGACGCTTGACTTTCGATGGCAGCAACTGGGGCAGAAGGATGCGATGCGGAGGATGCGAACGTTAAACTTTGTGGGCTTTTTCTGTGAGTGTGTGTGTGTGTGTGTATGTGTGTGTGTGTGTGTGCGTGTGGGTGAGAGCACGCTCAAAGGGATGTTGCTTGTTTCTTTGACTTTCACTTTCGTCCTTGCCTTTGCCTTTGCCTTTCCTTGCCTTCTTCTCAATGAATTGAATTAGAAGAAGTTGCCGCTCGCTCTCTCTCTCTCTCTCGCTCAGGGCCTGCGGGGGGTAGTTGGTTGGTTCCGCTTGGTAGCGTAGCTGAAAAGAGCTTTTCCTTTCCATTCCTCGGGGTTCGTGGCCCCCTGTTTGTTTAGTTGCGTTTGAGATGTTTCTAGCGTGAGATGTTCGCGCCGAGAAGAAGAAGTGCGCGAGTTGCCCAAATCGAAAGCGAGATGACAGCGGGTTTTGGCCATTTAGCGGCGGCAAATCAACAACACACCCATCCCCATCCCCATCACAATCAGACGCATAATCACAATCACAATCACACTCTCAATCAGAGTCTGAATCAGAGTCAGACGCTGCAGCGACCAGACAATCTTAATCTTAATCAGGATCATAATCACAATCAAACGCACAACAATCCAAAAACAATGCGCTGTGAAACGAGGTAAATAGTGACGAAGAGAAGTGTAAGAAGTGTAAGATATATAGATGCAACTAAGAGAGAGTGAGAGAGTGAAAAAGAGCCAATTAAATACCTTAAATACCCACAAAATTCGCAGCTAAAATATTCCAATAAACATTTAATAAGCTCCCTAGTATTCCCATAATCCTTCCCATTCTATTCCCATTCCCAACTCATTTTCAGCTACGAAATGCGAAACTTTTTGATTACATTTGGCATTTATTTTGGCCACTTTTTGTGGCGACTCGACTAACTTTTGCGGCACAAATAAATCTCACAGCTTCCGATAATTGTTCAATGTGTGTTCAGACCAAACACCAAACACCATTTATTTATGCACTTACTTATCTATCCATCTGGCTATGGTACTACATATATGTACTATGTATATAGGAACTTGTTTTGTGGCCCCAAACAAAGTGCCCAAAAGTGTGGCGGGGCTGCTCGTAAATCAAGAACATATTTTTGGGGGAAATTTATTTCAACAAAGATTGTGCAGAGAAGCACAAGAAAGACGAGTGGAAGTGCAAACTCCTGCAGATTGCAGTTGCAATGCAGTCAAGGACCCATAAAGTGTCCTTAAACATAAGAGCGAGGGGAGTGGGGGCTGGGGGTTTGGAGGATAAGTGACCCAAAGCAGGAGTGTGGGGATAAATAAAGTTGCTTATTTTAGAAGACATCGTCGCATGTGTGGAAAGCAGGTTTTTCACGTGCCTGGCCGACAATAGACGAAACGTGACCAGGTAGTAGCCATGCCACTCGACCATCCCTCCCACAGGACATGTACCTGCCTCGCCTCGCCTCACCTAATCCGCACCCACCCAGCCGTGCAGCAGCCCCCACTGGATGGTCACCTGGGCATCGATTTGCGACAATTAAATGTTGGCATAATAAAATCAACAGCAAAACGGCCACAAAAATGCCATTTCTGTCAGTCCCAGTCCCAGTCGTAGTCCCCCCAGTTCCAGTCTTCTCTCTCTGTTTTTCTCTCTCTCCCTTTCTGTGCGGCTCGCAAATTGGCGGCAAGTGCAAACAAAGTGAGCTGGCAAACTGCCGCAGAACGATTTTCCACAATTTCCCGCACTCAACCGAGCTGAAAAGTCAACAGCAGGAACAAAATAAAAAAAAAAAAAGAAAGAAAAAAGAAAGCGATTCAGGAAGCCAAAAGGTAGGAGAGCAGGAGCAGCAGCAGCAGGAGCAGCAGGAGTGGTCGGTGGGTGGGGAGACGGGGGGATACAAGTTTTTTATTTGTCAGGATGTACTCGGCATTATTCTGCTGTTCACTTTTCGAACATACTCCATGCTGCTGCTGCTGCTGCTGCTGCTCCGTGCTGCCTGCCTGCCATAACAATAACCTTTCACCAGAATGTAACATGTCTGGCATTTATATGTCGTATGGGCAGCCCCCTCCTGCCACCCAGATACGAGCAGAGGTGTAGCTCCTCTGCCTTCCCCTCTGGCACTTGGCAGAGGTAGCTGCTCTTCAGGCAGTGCAAATCGCATTGAACTCGCAGTGTCGCTTCCCCTCAGCCCACCCAGTTATTTGATGGCCTCTTAATTTGATATCAGCCTTTTGTTTGAATCAACTGAAACCGCAAATTGTGCTGTCTGTTAAGGAAATTGATATTTAGAATTGATATTTAGAATAAGTAAATAAATAAACAAATTGGGAATATATTAGATGAGAGTATTATGGGATTTTGGGTATTAAAGGAATTTAATCGCCTTGGATTGTATCTGTTCTTTGAATGATTTTATTGCTACTACTTCTGGTAGTTGTTACTGTAAATCGTTTGTCAATTGCATTGAATATAAGCCCTTTCATTTGCCTGCCTAATCAATTCAACGCTAAACAGCTAAAGGCAATAAAATCTGTAGAGATACAAAGGTAAATCCCATATCCATGCATTCTATTCCTTTGAATACTGTCTAATAAAATTGCCAATCGACTCCTTCGAGGGCATGCACATGTCTGGGTATATATTTATTAAGCAGAACTACGCACGCAGGACAGGCAATATCTTTCATTCCCCACCGATTCTCTTAAATTCAGCATTTGAATGATTTGTCGGTGGAGGGGGAGGGGGAGCCTCTATCATTAGCTGATGGCTGGCATTATCCTTTGGCAAATGTGTATATAATTGCAGGACCCCCGAGTCAGTTGGACAGCGGCCAGGACATGCGGCGCTGCTCCTTGACATCGCCTGAGCAAATAGCAGGGCGGGCGGCAGAGGGAAAAAGTAGTACAGAAAATATACAGAAAATCTGATAAAATCAGCATTTTCTAAATTAAATTGTTCGTTATGCATACGGAAGGAAGGAAGCGGGGCTAAAAGAGCAGCCAGGCCAAGGATCACGAAAAGGCAAAGGCACGGGGTGGCTGGCAGGACCCTAGCCCAGCACACGGCCACTCACTCAGCTCGCTGTAATTGTCCGCTGACAGGCGGACAAGAGAGAGAGAGAGAGCCAGTCTGACATTTAGCATACAGATATGCATGTGTTTATATATGTGTGTGTGTGTGTGGGGGAGGACCCGAACAAGGACAAGCCTTTATTCCGTCTGCGGCCACGATGTCCACGTGTCCGGATAATTACCCAGTGTCTGCTTGGCCCACATAAGCAACGTACGTACGAGTAGGAGTACGAGTGAGTACGACTAGGACTAGGACTGGGAGTATATCAAATATTTCAAGTGCTGAAGTGGCCAAGTGGCCAAGTGGCCGGGGGTGGGTGGAGTGCCCTGCGGGGTCCTGCCATACATCAGGATTATTGTGTCACGTTGATGTTGATGTTGCTGTTGCTTATGCGCTTTTAATGATAGTTGTCACTAGAGCCACTAGTTCGTCCTGGCTGAACAAAGGACTGGCTGCTGTTAATTGAGTTGCCCCGTAATTCCTGCATCTCCCATTCTCCCATCCTCAGACAGAGGCCAATTAGAGGCCTCTTTAGGCCCGCTCTATGTTTACCCCAGCTAATGGCATAATTACTGTCCATCCAACTTACGAAATTCTACTAATATTTCTCTCCCACTTGCAGCTTGGGCATTGGCCGCGCCCACTTCGAGAAGCAGCCGCCCAGCAATTTACGCAAATCGAACTTCTTTCACTTTGTGATCGCCCTGTACGATCGGGCCGGACAGCCCATCGAGATCGAGCGCACAGCCTTCATTGGGTTCATCGAGAAGGACTCGGAATCGGATGCCACCAAAACGAACAACGGGATACAATATCGCCTGCAGTTGCTCTATGCGAATGGTGAGTGGGGGTGGCAAGGGACAAGGGGCAAGGGAATTTGAAGTCTTATGTAATATTAATCTTGGTTTTATTTTTGGATATTTGCAGGCGCACGCCAGGAGCAGGACATATTCGTGAGGCTGATCGATTCCGTGACCAAGCAGGTGAGTCGAGGAAGAGTTTTGAATTCAATATATGTTGGAGGGGGTAACTCTGAACAGCATCAGCTGTTTCTTGCTCTCTACTGAGATATTTCTCTTGCATATTTCACCCACTCTTCCATCATTTGATTTGCAAAAGCCACTTAAATAAATGAAAAACCCATCGAGCAATGCAAACGGGAAGGGAAGGGCAGTTCAGTGCATGTTAGCGGGGCAGGCTCTCAAAGTTAACCAAGCTATGAAAAACTAATTCCTTCCACTTGGCTGGCTGCCTTTTCAGGGGGGGGGGATGGGGGTTTCTCGTTTTCCTCTACTTTCCAGCGATGTTTGTTTTGCTGATTCGAGCATAAGTTGCATTCGAAATTGATTGTCATGGCTAATTAAGTGTGTCCTGGTGTGTCCTGGTATGTCCTGTGCCAATAAATTGAGTCGTCCAACGAGCAATTCATTCACACTCTCTGCCCCCTAAAAGGGGTGTATCCGCCCTGCCCGCTAACGAGAGGACATCGGTCGAGAATCGAGAATAACGAGAGAGAAACACGGGCTAATGCGCCACTCTGTTGTGGGTGCGTGCGTGTCCTTAGCCTTAGCCTGCTGCAGGCGGCGGCCCAACAATTGTCCTGTATACTCGTACGCTGGGTGCACCATATGTCCGCTTTTGTAGGCCTAATGTCCTCCTGACTGCCGTGTTGTGGGTCCCAGGACTTTTCTTTTCGCTGCCTTTTCTTTTGCCTTTTCAAGGGCAATTAATTTCTCGAGTGACAAATTTTTATAGACATTTCAGTTCAGTTTTTCTTTCGTTCAGCCCTTAGATGCCATGCCATTTCCCCCTTTAACGCCTCACTTCTCTCGCCCCCTGCAAATCGATGGGTTTTCCCTTCAATGTATATCTCTATATTCCTCTGTTTTGTGGGCGTTTCTTGCCCGTTTAGCCCGTTCGCATCCAGAGTAACGAGCGCACAATAAATTTGTCCACAAATTATCGACAGCAGCGACATCGCCCCCTTTCTGCCCGCCCTCCTCCCCTCCTGCCCAGATGAGAAATCCATTTGTGCGAATGAAATTTAATCGCAAAATATTTGACGACAATTGAAACAAGCAAACCCGAAAATAAAAAAACTTCCTGTAAAAGCTTTCCAAAAAAAAACGTCTGAGAAAATGTTGAATGTATGATAAGAAATCGCTCGTCCATATATGGGAATTTCACAGCAATTAAACCTTATCGAATGGCGCCATTACGTAAATGTTTATTTATATTTATTAATAAAATGCGTAATTAAAAATGGCATAATGGGTCTTTGAGGGAACATTAAGATATTTCTGAATTCTGGATTCCCAGATGGCATATATATTCCGTTCGATAAAGATGAATATCCATATCCATGATAAATGTGAATTTGGTTTTAGTTTTTGCATTAGTTTAAAATAAAAACCAAAACGATTCAAATTCAATAATTTGCCAACAAATTGTACTTAGCTTTACACAATAGTTCATTGCTATATTTGATATGTCATAGATGTAGGTACATACATATGTACATATTTATATATCCGATGCATTTGAATTGCCTATTTCCTTATGGGTACCCACCCCTAATTTTGGATGAATCCACGCATCGACTGTCGGAACGAGTTTGCAGGCTGGCTGGGAAATGAGCAAGCAATCATTTGATCGGATTAGGTCGGTCTTCAGCTACTGTTGTTCGGGTTGGGTTTTCTCTGTGTTTAATTTTTTATTTTGTGAGTTTTACATTTCATTTTGTCGCGTGTCGCGAGCGGTGGGCGGTGGGCGGTGGGCGACAGCCTTATCGGCTGGCGTAACAGGTAAGGCGGAGGATAAGCGACGAGTGCTATCTGCTGTGGATCAGTTGGGACGGCGTGAGTGTTGTTGTAACCTGAAACTGAAACTGTAGCAGGGAGAATACGATTACGATTACGATTGCGATGCGGCATTGTCTCAGCCGGAGAGCATTGGGGCGGAAGAAGCAATGGGAAAAGGCAGGCCAGGACAGGACAGGACAATTGTCAACTGTCGCGTGGCCAACCCTTCGGTGGCTGATGGTATCTACCCGCTGCCCGCTCTCCAGCCCTTTCGTGGGTACAAGGGGGGGTACGGGTACAGGGCAGGCAAATGTAGCAAATCATGGTCATAATCATAATTACATTCGATCAGATAACGGTTCAAACAGTTCGAACAGGAACAGGAGGCGTCGCAATTGCAATTTGAGCTAACGATGAGAGAGAGAGAGAGGAACACGGACCATGGACCATGGACCACGGACCACGGACTATGCGGACCGCGGACCAGGAACCACGGAATCGCTTCATTTATGATCATATTTCATTTTCATCCGACCAAAGGAGCAGGGGCTGGCGGGAGGTACGGGACCAGCATGAAACAAAGGCAAAGTGCCTAGAAAATCCTTTTTACCCCGTTTTTGTGTTTTTGCCCAAAAATTGCGCTTATCGCGATTTACACGCATTATGACGATGCGATACACACACGCACACACATAGACGCCCAAAAAGCGCAGCGAAATTCTAAACCAAATCAAAGAGAGAGAGAGCAGGGTGAGAGAGATTAATGCACGCAGATAAGCACCCAACAGTTACCCAACAGTTGTTCAGCCGCTGAAAGAGCGAATGCAAATGGCGCGCCGCCTGCTGTGTGTCTGCCTACTTTTCGCGTGTTAATTAAGCGATAAAATTAATTTGTGTGTCAACACATAAGAGCAGAGAGAGAATCATTTTCGATTAATAACACATTTCACATTCGCTGCCTGCTCTGTTCGTTTTATTGCAAATTGTTATTGTTGTTGCTGCTGCTGCTGCCGGCGCTCTGCTGGTCGCTCAATAAATTCAACAGATTGTGCGAAAAATCTCCACATTTGCATCTCCACATCGCCGACGCCATGTGTGAGCGCTTGTGTATGTGTTTGTTTGTGTTTGTTTGTGTGTGAGTGGAGCCATTTGCCTGCTGATTTGTCTGTCTCGCTTTTACTCACTCTCTTGCCGCGCTGTGCCTGTCCCATTCGCACACATTGCTGGCAATGCGATGCGATTAAAAATGCTTTCACGGCAAGTGCATTTCTGCGGTCACTGGCGCCAAGTGTTGGAAACGGGAGGGTTGAAAAAATTGGGGAAGCGAATGAAATGGCCAGCAGCGCCATTCTCATATCTCGCCCTCATTATGCGAAATGTGAAATGCATGCGGAATCCTCTTTGAAATTCTTGCGGCTCCCCCAGGGGAGCCAGGACGCCAAAGGTGTAGTGTAATGTGTGGAATGTGCAATGGCCAACCTCTACCAGTTACCTGTGTTTATAGGGAAATACTCTGCGCAAGTTGCAGGACCTTAACTGATGTTTTCCGTGACTGTAGAGAGCCTTGATTTGGAGATCGTTCTCTTCCTTAAACCTTTATTGGGTTCTACTATACCAAATGTAAGGTTAGGTCATGATTTATTTAACAAGCATCCTCTTTCAATTGAATTCAACACGGAAAAAGAACAAATGTTATTATTATTTTTATTTTTACAACATTTCTTTCTTATCCAGCGACTCGACGAAAAATTATGTTAATTCCTTGGGCAGTAGGGGAGCAGAAATGAAGGGTTCTGCCTGTGTCCATTTGACTGCAGAAACATGTATATTGTTTCATATAAAGGATGCATGGGTCCTTGCAACAGTCACCTCCTTCACCCGCTTTCCCTTCCTTTTTTTCTGTTTGGGTGCCGTGCCGGCAATTTATGCGTTGTCCTGATAAATGAAGCTTTAATAAATTAAGAGCTACCCTCGATAGGTTCTTTTTTTTTTGTGTGTTGTTTTACAAACATTTTTTTGTATTTTTTGCACACGGTCTTTTGTGCGCGATAATTTATCTTGTTTGGCGAGATTTTTATTTGGCCCGTTAAATATGCAACATGCAGCAGCATGCTGCATGCAACGCTTCAGTGTCCCAGCTCGTCCGTCTCGTGGCTCTGGCAGTCAACGTTCCACATATTCAGAGTGCGTGAATAATGCAAGGGATGTCGATTTATTTTATTCCAAAAGCGATAATAACAATTTGCAAAAAAATGCTGCAAAAACAAACCAAAAAAAAAGCACGGCATCGTTTTCAGTGGAGTTTTGATGGAAAATCGTTTAAATTTTAAAAGCCGCTTCTGCTTTCATCCTGTTTGGACCCATTCGTACCCATCCTCTGCTGCCTGTCCTGTCATCACTTCATCACTCGCTTTTTTTGCCGGAATATTTTTGCTGTTGTTTTTGTTGCTGTCTTCCTGTTGGTCTGTTGTCCTCTTTTTGGGTCGTACTGCTCCTGTTCCTGCTCTGCCACTGACTCCTGTTCTTTGTCCTGTTGATAAATCGTAGTTTAAACGCTTTTACTCCAGTTTTAGTGGCTTTCGTTTAGTTTGCCGTTTTTTTTGTTTTTTTTTTTATTAGATGAGGTTGAGCCATTTAGCCTCCGATTTACCACTGCCCACCATTTACCATACCCCTACGACTACTCGTGACTCGTGAGTTTTGACATAAAGAATGGGAAAAAGAGCCAACTAATTGTTTGTTTCTACATCCCGGCCCAAGGATGATTGATTAGGATCTCTGCTAGCCCAACAGTTAGTCGTTTTTGGGGGAAAACTTAGATTTAGATTTGTTTGCTTTGGTTTTTTTTTGTGTGGCAAGTGGAAAGTGATTTAAAAGAGCAAATATGGAATGCCTGAGCACTCCCCCCTTTGCATAATCCTCATCAAACTATATATTTATGTACATATAGTTGAGAACCCAGCTCCAACTCGCATTTAATGCCAAATAAACAGGTGACAAATACAAGTTTACCAGCCCAAAAAGAACATGGCAAACTTTATGTCCTGCCAGAAAAAAAAACATTGAAAATCCATTAGACTTGGCTCAGTACGGGCACAAAAAACGGACCATCCAGATCCATCCCTGGGCCTATAATTAGTGGGCGCAGTAGTCTCTGTCCCACAGCCGAGATGGAGATGGAGATGGAGAGGGGTTCAACCCGTAAGTCTGGTATGATATCCCACACAGATTGGACATTGAGCCGGGCTATCGAGAGGCTGTCCTGTCTCTCTGATCCTTTACACACAGGTTGCACGGGTCGGGGGGAAGGGAAGTTATTAACCTGACAAACGGGATAATAAGGGATGATCATAACTTTTACATGTGCCCAGCAGGGGGTGGGGCGGCCTGCTGGATGGTTCGCCTTCCGAAAGGGGGTGATAGAGCTGCTGGTGCTGCTTCTGGTGCTGCTTCTGGTGCTGCTGGTTGCATTAAAATTAATTTCTGATTATCTATTTGGCTGGGCACACACACACCCAGCTTCCTGGCTTTCTGGTCTCATCCTTTCTGCTCATCCATCCCGCTCCTGCCTCATGCTCATGCTCATCCTCAGTTTTAGTTTTGGCTTTGAGGAAAACAAATGCACATATGTTGGGTGGGAAAGCACTCGTCCTTGACGCTCTGAAGCAAGTGGCAGCATTCTTCTTGCCTGCGTTTTTGGTACCCAGTAGTCTTTTTAATATAGGGGAATATTCTTTGCAGGCAGATTAATGTAGCAGGCGGAGGGAGGCTTCTTCAAACTTTTATTTTGTAGTCAGTTTTATCTGTCTAAATGCAAGAACAAATCGAAAAGGAATAGCATTCAAAGCTGGTGCAATATAATAGCCATGGAACTCTTCTTGGAATGTACCCACCTATCTAAAATAATTTCCACTCATTGGTCACTCCCCCTCCAGACCCACTTCCAGAGTGGAGATAGTTTATATTACGAGTATATAAATTCATAATTCACATATTAGTTGTCCCCCGACATTCAGTGGGTATCTTTCAGTCGTCACAGTCGCCAGTTCTTGCTGTGTTTTTTTTTTTGTTTTGTTTTAACTTTTGGTGGATGAAGACACGGCTCAGGTTTTCATAGGATACAATTCGGTTATTGTTATTACTTTTGCGTGTATCTCTGGCGAGCTGCCACCGAGTGATGAATGATCCCCCCTCCTGGCAGCCCTCTCTCAGCCCAGAGAACCACCCCCCGCTGTCAGATCTCGCACCCATATGCCGTGTTTTATTTTTTTGTTGTTTCACCCAACTAATTCATCGGATGAGTGTTGGATTACGGTTACGAGGATGGACGAGTGCAACCCGCTTTAATCATTTTTAAATTAGAGAACTATGCGCCTTTTTGTTGTGCGTTGTGCGTTGTGCCCACCTCCTGCCATCCACCACCCACCAGGCAGCCCCTGTTCCATCGTTTGTTTATCTATTTGTTCGAGAGGTTTTTCCTCCAGCGCTCCTTTGTCGAGGGAAATTGCAGCAGATTGGCCAACGTTGCACTTGCGGTTCTCTCTCTCTTCCACATGGCATGATTTCGGATCGGCCACTGATACTGCCACTGACACCCCACTCCGTGCCCGCCGGCCCCTTCTCCCTTCCCCCTTCCCCCTGCTCACGCACACACGCCTCACTTCACTTCCACCGCACAAATAAAACAACAAACAAACAGACAAACATACAAACATATAACAACAAATTCAAGTGGAGTTTTCTTTGGACAAATACAAATACTACTCGTAGCTACCACCAGGCAGATATGGTATCCTTGATCCTTGCAGAGAGGTAAAAACTGTGGACATAGTCAATATTTGCATTTGCATGTCCCATATGTCGATTCCAGCCAGAGTTAGCTCGAGCCAGCCTCGAGCTGGCTCTGTAATTAGCATTTATGTGTGCTAGTGTTTGGCCATCAAATGATAGCTGATTCCGCGAGTGGGGAGGGCGGTAGGTCAAGAGCGGGGCAGGGCAGTGCTGGAGTGGGTGGGCGTTGGTGTCGATGGCTGGGGGGCTAATAACGGGGTCACCCACAGTAAATAGAGGCTTCGACAGGGAAAAGGGAATTAAAGCCAAGCAAATCAATGAAGAAACGGGGCTGCTTGGTCTATATATGAAGAAGATTTTATATAGATATAGATATAATATTTAGTGGATATTTAATTATCTATTTTCTATATGTGATGCTATTTTAATATTTTTATGCATATTTTTAAAGATTGTTTCGCTCTAAAAGCTTACTAATTTCTCTCTTGTACTCCCATCGAATTGCAGGCCATCATCTACGAGGGTCAGGACAAGAATCCAGAGATGTGTCGTGTCCTGCTGACGCACGAAGTCATGTGCAGGTGAGATTCCTTCTCCGTTAATATCATCCCCATGCTACCTTTATTATCTATCTATGAGACTGGCTCTGCCTGCCCTCGAACCATTGTAATCCACACCTTTTGATTCTGATTTGAGAATCGAAATCGCAATTCTCGCGGGCATTCATTCGGCCAGCGAGTGTCTCCCTGGAGCTTTCTCTTCCTCTATGCCTCTCTTGCTCATGCTCTGCCTCTCTTTCCACTACCCTTGAGAGCCACTCAAATTATAGTCTTTCTGAATTCTCATTTGGTTTTTTTCTTTCTGTTTTTTCTCACATTTTTCGCGTGATTTTCTTTGCGGGTTTTTTTCCTTGGGCTTTAATTTTGGTGATTTTTGAGCTTCGGTTTTCTCGTGTCCTTTCTTTTTATTTTCATGCTCAAACGCACGCGAACTGAAACGTATAAATGGTTGACTAACTCGCCCACCCACTACCTCTACCTCTACCACCCACTCCCTGCCCTGCCCAGCCCAATCCTCTGCTGCTTTTGGGGTGGTGTTTCACCCTTCTAGCAGCCTCTCTGACAGTTGAAGGTTGCGTAGGAAATAAAAACGGCACAGCAGACAAGCAAAAAAAAAAGAGAAAAAAGAAAACTGAGGGAAAGCCATACAACAACAAAAATTACACAGCTTTAGCCGGTACATTCGCCCCCCCCCCTGACAGAACACCCCCTGCAGCCCCCTTGGTATACCCTGTACATCCAGCTGGCCGGCCATCTTTTATTATTTCGGATTGGCACCCAGTTTTTATGTTTGCGTAGCATTATCAAAAACAAGGGGACAACGCACACAACGCCAAAGACACACAGAGACACGGCCAGGGGTTGCCTGGCCAGACTCCCTGTGCCACCTCCCCCCACCCATAGGGCATCGGGCACACCATAGAGAAGATGCGTGGGTGGACGGGGGAGGGAGGGTGCGATGGCGTCGTCTTCTTTATCGTTTTGGCTTTTCGCCCATTTCAGTCATCCATGTTTATGTTATATGCCCCGGCCAAAGCCAGGAGCCAGGCGCTGGTCAGATTCAAGCCAAAAATGCCACCCCCACAGAAAGGATGACCCTCAATCCAGTCGCCACACCCGCCCCCAGAGCCCCCCCCCTTAAAGCCAGCCCAGGGGCTGTGCAGTCAAAAATTTACGCAGCCATTGAGCCCGATATAGATATACTCAGACATACGAGCACATGCACAGATCTAGATATAGATATATACATGGATATATGTGCATATAAATATGTATGTATCTGTTTGTTTGTATGTAGTATGGAGAGCAATGACAAATGTCTGACCCCAAAAAACAAAGACCAACAATTGAAGAGCGAAAGAGACTTTTAGCACACTTTCGAAAGCTGCTGGTAGTTGGTGGCACAATTGGGTTAAAGTGCAGAGACAGAGGGGTTTTTATAGGTAGGTGGAAATACGAATATATATGATCTATAGACTTAATACTCAACAATTTCCACTTTCGTTTAAAAATCTATTTAATTTAATTATAGATCCTTCTTAGTGTTCCCCTTTTTAGGAATTTTGCTACACAATTTCTGTTTTATCTTATTATAATTGTTTGTACTGCTCAAAGTATGTATTTTCCTTGCATATCCGCTGAACATTTATTTAATATTTAAGCCAACTTAAATTGAAGCTAAATTAAAGTTTATTTTTGTGATTTTCCACCTCCACAGCCGCTGCTGTGATAAGAAGAGCTGTGGCAACCGCAACGAGACGCCATCGGACCCCGTCATTATTGATCGGTAAGTAGCCATAGTTCATGTAGCCATCCTGCCATCCTGCCATCCAGTCCCAGCTCCTGGCTGCTGCTGCTCCTCTCTGCCACACAAAAGATGACATTTTAAGCTGCTTTTCATCATCGTCGCTGGCTTTTTTATTTTTGTCAGCCCTGTTTTGTGAGCGAGCCAGAGCTCTCTCTCTCTCTCTCTGTGTGTATGCGTATCGTTGATTTATTGGCATTATTATCAACTGCAATATAAAACATGATGCGGCAGACATGCAAAGGGCCACAGGGGAGGGGTGTGGGGGCACACAGAGTGAACAGTGGCAGCAGGAGCTGAAGCAGGAGCAAGAGTTGTCCCTGTGTGCTGTGTGGCTGCAGCTCAGAGTGAAAGGAGGCCAGAGACCAAAACAAAAATTCATCAAAATGTGAAAAGCAAATTCTATTTTCATAAATTTGTAAATTGAGACGAGTTCGCGGCAATCCGACACCCACCAGCCGCCCCCTTTTTGAGGCACTTCCCTGCCGTTGGAACCACACACACACACACAACCCTCAAGTGGCTGTCTCTGTCGCGTGTCAGGCGAATTATGTTAATTGCATGCACATCCTTGTGGCAGCCACTCCACGCCTCCTCCTCCGCCTGCCTCCACTGCGGCTGCCTGGGAGTGCGTCGCCTCTAATTGGCTTCGGAAATATTTTGTTATTGCTGAGGAAATTAGAAAAACCAAAATGAAAAACAAATTGTTATGGGAACTTATGATTAAAAAGGAAGAAGGAGTGGGTATAAAAAAATAGATCTGCAGTTCTTTCGAATAAAATAGAATATCTGCATTCATTCACATCGTATCTCTGTCCACAGTAATTAGACATGTTCCTTAAACGAACCCAATTGATTGCGAATGAAATTATCTTACCCCTTCATTTGGGCATCCCTCATCCCTCACCCCCATGCCACACCCTCACCCTCATGCCTCACCTCATTGAGTTGTTAAACAATTTTCCAGTCCCCAGGCCCCATTAAAGTGTGTAGCACACACACCTTATGCAGATGATAATGATCTCGATCGATCTCTGCCTAAGCATCGTGCCTTCGTGTGATTCCATGTAAAGAGGAGGCGACGTGCATCATCATCATCATCAACATTGGTGGTCTGTCCTCCGCGGATGGGTGTCCAAAAGTATTTGCCTAAAGGGCACATTTGTGTACGTACTACGTACCCGCCCAGCTTCAGTTCAAGTTCCAGTTGCAGCTCCAATTGGCAGGTCTAGACTTGAGACTCGAGACTCTAGAATCTAGAGGACTGCCCACAGAGGTGTTCTCCGAACCGAACCGAACCGAGACGAGACGAGATACCAGCTCGAGTTGGGCACGAGAGTCTGCTTAATGATTCTATTATTAATGTGGTTAGCAAAAGTGTCTAGGTCCGACCGGCTACAGGTTGGCCGGCAATCAGGCCATAATTGGTGTCATAATTAAATTTAATTGATTGCCTCCTCGGAGCCCGCCACCTCCCTCTCGAAACTCGAGTATCAGTTTGCAAATTAGGAAATGGTCAAGCCAAGTGGTAACTGCAGAAAAACCAAACCAAACTCGAGCCAAGAAAAACTCTTGCTACACAGATACTTGCAGAGACTCGCAGATACTCGCAGATACTGAGATACAAGTAGAAGTGATCTCGGCGAGATCAGAGATCGCGACTTTGCGCCTTTGCGCATTTATGATCTTGTTAAAATTGCTTTGCGTGGCAACGTGTGCTCCAGAATGGAGCCAAATGCCAATGTCATCCGTTGGAATAACAGTTACACTCAACAACTGATCTGCAGATTCAGTACCCTGTCCCAGCCCCCAGCCCACAGCACTGGGTCTCTTCTCCACGTGCCCAGGTGCGACACTTTGCGCTTGATATTTACGATTATTAATTCATTTCTTCTCTATTTATTTGCCTTGTTAGCCGGTCTGCTGAAGAGGCAGAGGCCAGAAGCCTCCTCTGAGCCACATCAAATTGGTTAATCCCGTCAAGAGATGGCAGCGTGAGTGATACAAGAAGAAAGAAATGCAGAAATAGGGCTAGGGTTACAGATAGCGTAGTGATTGAATTGGTTTAGGTACATATATTTCTGGGAAGAATTATTGCTATCTCCTTCAAGTAATAATCCCTTGATTGGACACCTTTTATTATTCCTTTTTATTCCATAGAGTTAGTCGGAATAAACTTTCCTTTGCTGGCAATGTATGAGTGTCCTCCTAGGAGATCTTTCAATATGCATACCATATGTATATATTATTATTTTGAATCCGTATGTAGCTTGTAGATCTCTCTTGCCACAAACTATTGTGTCACGCGCACATCTCTAGGTCTCTCTGGCTGCACATGTCGCATTTGTCAGGTCGGGCTGTAACTTTTGTCGGCATTCCACAAGCCGAAGAGGACGCTGAAGCTGTGGCAGAAGCTGCAGCAGGACACAGGCGCATATCAATCACTAGCTGAAAACACTCCCAGCTCCAATCAGCTTAAAAGGCGGCATGGATCAGTCAAACGAGCCATGAACCACCGCCCCCCGCCCTGTCCACTCACTCACCACTCACCACTCGCCACACACCACTCCCTATCGTGGGGCCTGCTCATTGATATGCCAGTAGATCATGCCGCCAGCAGAAAGACAAAGACTCACGGATAATCTATGTGTTCGCAACTAAATTTTGCAGGGCCCCACAGGAGAGGAGTGCGGAGCAGAGATGGGAGCTGCAGCAGGCAGGAGCAGAGAAGCCTTAAAGCGCTAACTCTGCCGGAGGTCCAGCACATTTTGCCACTCAAGCGAAGCGTTCACCTCGCACTGCACTGCACCGCCCCGCTCCCGCTCCCACTCCTGGTCTTCCCTCTTTGGGAAACTTTGTCAGCAGCCAGCGCGCAACAATTGGAACTGATTGAAAATTCCGCAAGGGGGTAGCCGCCAGCGGGTTGGTGGGGGCTCTGCTGGGGACATGCTTGCATTTCAAAGTGGTTGACGAAAGCCAAAAACTGATACGATATGACAAGAGCAGCAACAGCAGCAACAGCAGCAACAGTAGCAACAGCCAGCAGCCAGCAGCCACAGCCAGCAGTAACTGCAGCCACGATGAGACGGGGGGTAGCAGTAGCAGTAGCAGTCTCGGACAACAGCACCTCAATTCCAACTTGGACTCGCTCTCTATGGCTGTCCCGCTCGCGCAAGCTCTCTTCCTGCTTCGGAACAGACGGCTGACTGACGTTCGAACGTGTGCCGTGAGAGTAGGAGCAACTGAGACTGCAACTGCGACTACGACTGCGACTTCGCTGCTCCGCTCTGCTCTGCTCTGCTTGGAGATCTGCGCACATGTTTTATTGATGAATCTCTGTTATTCATGCAGGCGATCTGCGGAGGGTGCAGGCGGCGGCGGAGGAGGATGCTTTGGAGATGCCGAAATTGTGCACACAATGACCAGCGGTACAGTGGGGCCAAATTCAGCCAAATAAGTATTAAAATTCCATGATAATTTACATCATATGATATTTCGTATGTAAGTTATGGAAACTTTCCCTTATTATGTTTGTTCAAGTACTTGTTGCATTCCTCCGATCCGTCCCACTGTGCAATAGATCGTTGCGGATTTGCAATTACGCAGGGCAGGTGAGGAGGAGGAGGGCTTTGTTTGCCGCTTTGTCTCGGTTCCGCTCTCTTCCGCACTTGCTCTCTTCCTGCTGCTACCTCTTTTATTTATGATTTGCGAGGGCAGTCTCGCTCCGCTCTCTTCTCCTCTCGAGCATTGTCTTCGCATTTCGATTTTGTTGCTCTGTTTTTTTTTTGTTTTCTGATCCCCCCCCCTTCCCACTCACTCACCTTCACCACCTCTCCGACTTATGTTGGTATGCACTTCGTGTGTGTTCCATAATTAAGTGAATTTAAAGCTCACTTCGGCGGTGGTCGGCTGCGATCGTACTTGGTCGGTTGCTCTTGTTCTGCTTGTTGGCCAGGTATTCGTGTTGTTGGTTCTGCGACATGTTCCACGTTTTTGTCACACATTTTTGACGGAACGGAACGGGACGGAGACAGAGACAGAGACTGTGGCTATGCTGTGCTCTGTGTTCCCAGTGTTTTCTCTCTGTTCTCTGTTGTTTCGTAGTATTCCATTTGCTGGAAATCATTTTTTGTTTCTTTGTTTTTTTGCTGTTTTTTGTTTTGTTTTGGTGGCTCACCACCATCTGGCGTATGCGTAATGACGTGAATGTTATTGACAGGCATGCAATTGGCCTTGTTATCAGCGATGGCCATTAAAATCGTTATCGCGTGACCGACGCCCGCGTTCGACTTTTTAATTTGAGTAAATTGTGCTCGCCCCCTCCCTCCCTTCCTTCCACTATCGCACTCATCGCGATGAAAAAAAACAGCAACAGCCACTCAAACACCCATCTGCATAGCCAAAACAAACTGTGAAAGAACAAAAAGAAACAGAAGAAAAAAAGTCTAGCTCTATGCGACGAAGCTTTTGATACCCTTCGAGAGCGATCCAGCTCCTATGGTGAGTGATCAAATCTTGGAGTGCATAAAAAGTAGGCTCCATGCTAAGTTTAAATGTGTACAAATATGATTATTTTCTCCATTCATATGTATGTTTCTTTCCAATTTAAATACTCTTTGAAAGGGTATCAAAAACACTACAAAGAGTGGAAAAAAAAGCTCTCAAGCGAACAATCGAAAATTCGCCACTCTTGCATTTATCTACGTCATTGGCATTTTCTTCGCTTTATTTCAATTTTCTATATTGTCCCGCCATCGTCCACCAAATAAACTAAGTGCCAACTCCCCATCCGACCACTACACGGCACACGCCCACTCCCTTCCCCCCTCCCTGCCCACTGTACAACGAATAGAATTGACATTTTGTGGTGTCCAATATGCAAAAACACACAGCGAAATATTGAACACTGGAGGGCAAGGAAAGCGTGTCCACATGGAAGACATTTATCCGTCTACGTAAACAAATCTTGTTTAAATTTTATA